ACAGAAAACATTGTCAAATTAATGCAAGATGAAGGCCATCGTGACCTGTTTTATCTATGACTGCAAAATAGGACAGAATGGAAGTATCTGGGTGTTGACATATGTCTCCCTTTGCTGTTCTTCATCTTCTTTTTTGAGACAGGGTCTCCCAGTGATCTTTGAGCTTATGATTGGATAGACCACTGGCCAGTGAGCCTCATGTCTGAAATGGGATCACTGGTGTGTGCTACAGTGGCTGGCTTTTTATGTGGATGCTGATGCACGCATGTCATGTCCTCCCCAGCCCTTAGCAAAGAGGTTTCTATCAGCTGTACAGCTTTCTCCTTCCTCACAGTCACAACTGCTTTACCCAGAGGTCCCAGTTTCAGGTCTTGATTTTCTAGTGGTTGAGTAGCGGCTCTGTGGTCAGCCCTCAGGTCCCAGGGTCTGGATTTCACCTTTGCTCCTCATTTTCTGCTTAGTAACTTTGGGTAAATTTTTAACTCCAACACGACTCAGTGTTTGTTATGTGCAATTCGGAAATCAGTGCTAATAACTGCTCTGGGGGTGAAGCAAGATGAGACGAATTAATGCACCTTGAGTACTCACCAGGCCTTCAGCAATTGCTAGCTTTTAGTTCTGTTGAACTCGGTACTTAATGAAGACGGCATTAAGATTATCCAAGAATGACTGAATGCACCCAGTGGGATGAGACTTGATAAAGACTGCGGTGGAATTAGTTCAAGTCAAATATTTACAACAATCATGAGAGAAAGCACAGAGGGATAACCCAGACAGCCGGTCTGAGGGGGAGCAGGGCAGTTTCCCTGGTTGCCTGGAACTGCTGTCTACCCCGCAGCTGCTGCCTCACTTGTTTTCCACCCGTGGCTCTCAGGTTTCCTTGTCTCTCCTAAGACAGTGCTTTGTGCTCGCTTTTCAAAATTCAGACTTCTAAGAAGGACAATTTCTTTCTTTTGAATTATTTCTGTATGTGAATGCATGGTGTGTGCATGTGTGCTGTGTGATGTGTGTATGTGTGGTATGTGCATGTGGGATGTGTGTGGAGGGGTCCCAAAACAGCTTGACCACACAGCTGCCATGACAGGCTTAGGGGCCTACACAGCTTCTGTGACAGGCTTACTGGGAGGCAACACCCAGATCCAGGAAAAGCCTTAAGCTGACACCACCCAGGGATCCAGCCAGGGGTGAGGAAGTACCTGACATCCCAGACATTCCAACCATTAGATAAGGTGGCCAGATGTCCTTGAATCTAGCACACACCTATTTCCCCTTCTTACCAAGATACCCCCAGACAATTGTCAGCCAATCAGGGTCCTGAACCCTGGAAATCCCCTCACCCCAACCTCTGCTATGATAAAAACCCCATCCCACCTGAGCTCAGGGCTCTCTGCTCACTGCTGCATTGGACAGACAGAGGGACCAAGGCCCGGAGCTTGAAATAAAGGCTCTTTGCTTTTTATTTATTTATTTATTTATTTATTTATTTATTTATTTATTTATTTATTTATCTATCTATCTACTATCTATCTATCTATCTATCTATCTATCTATCTATCTATCTATTTTGGTTTTTTCAAGACAGGGTTTCTCTGTGTAGCTTTGTGCCTTTCCTGGAACTCACTTGGTAGTCCAGGCTAGCCTCGAAGTCACAGAGATCCGCCTGCCTCTGCCTCCCGAGTGCTGGGATTAAAGGCGTGTGCCACCACCGCCCGGCTGGCTCTTTGCTTTTATATGCTGGATTTAGTCTCCATGGTGACTTTTTGGGGGTCCCTGTGATCTGGGCATAACATTGCGTGCATGTGTGTTGTGAGCATGTGTGATGTATGCACGTGGGTATGCAGATGGGCACCTGTGTAGGTAAGGTGTCCATGTTAGCTTATTGTTTTGAGACAGGCTTTTTCACTGAAGTTGGAGCTCATTGGTTGGGTAGACTGGGCAGCCCTGGGAACCCTCTGTCCTCACCCCAGTGTGACAAGCATGAGCTGCAGTGCCTGACCTTTTGAATGCTAGGGATGCAGCTTCAGGTCCTCACGTGTGCTCAGCAAGCTCTCAGCCCACTGAGCCATCTCCCCAGCCCCTAACGGGAGGCCTCTGTTAGCTATGTATTCACAGGGATGTGGCCTCCACACAAGACACTTTGTAAAATGAAGGGACTCTGGCCAGCTGGTGAGCATTGCTCTGGCAGGCCTTCCCTTCTCCGGTCCCTCTTCCTTGCTAAAAGGAAGGCTAAAGCTAGCCCACAAGGTCTGTCTCCTTATTTGGCCACTTACTTCTCCTGAGGCTGACTATTAAGCCCCTCCCCCCCATCAAGTACTGAAGTGCAGCAATCAGAAGCCCCCTTTGGCTCACCTAATTAACATAACCAATTAAAACTAAATACCTCATCCTAACACGGGGGTTCCCTTTTACCTTTATAAACTGGCATTTGCCTATGTACCCCATCTCTGTCTCCCCTCTATCCAGAGGCAGTCCTGGGGACAAATACCCCTGTCCCCTTTCCCTTGTCCCCTCCCCTTCTCCCGTGTCCTCTATCTCTGTTACTGCAGCATCCTAGCCCATTCTAACACAGACCTCCTCTTTTCTCTTCTTAAAAATCCCACCTGCAAGGTCATTTGAGTCAGAAAGCAGCCACTTTAACTCCCCTCCCTTCCAGGAAAGAATCTCTCTGTGAACACAGGTGTTGGGGGTGGTTTGTGCCCAATCCGAGGCCTGGGAGGGAGCCCCCACTGTGCCGGAGTCCCCTTCATAAAATACCTACTGTGTTTGCCCAGGAAAGAATTTCCCTTTGCTCCTCTCTATAGCTCTCTTACCAAACTCAGATCTTGCACTTTTATGAATTCTAACTGGTGTGTGTTTGTAGAGTAAAACACTCATGTTAGGGTGTAGTTCTAATGAATGTCTCCCAAGTTCCTGTTAAGACACTGAACGTGTTCAACATCTAGAAAGATCTCTCATACCCCAGAGCCCCACCTTTCAGAGAGAACCGTGGCACTGATTTCTGTTGTAAGCTATTTTTTTTGCGTTGTTGTTTTATACTATAACAATAATAAAATTTTGCTGAAATAAATTATTTGACACAAATAAACGTTTGCTCACCCAGATAGGGAACTGAAAACAGATCAAAGTAAGGCTAGCACTGAAGTCCAGCTTTATGAACCAGTGACTGTTATTTGGGTTATTTATAGGAATATGGGTGAGGGGTTATTTACAGGAGCAGAAATGACCTAAACACAGCTGCGTCACCAAAGCCCACCACGGAGTAGATACAGCTCTTTCAGCCAGCTCAGGTGGTCTGAGCTCTTCTAGACAGCTCAGTTCGTCTGCAAGTGTCTCTTTGTAGTCCTATTGCATATATATATGTGTGTGTGTGTGTGTGTGTGTGTGTGTGTGTGTGTGTGTGTGTGTGTGTATACAGAAAGGAGGGAGGGACATAGTGAATCTGGTGAATTTCAGGGACTTCCTGAAGCTTCTCAATTATTTACTTCCTGAGGAACACGCTTCCCTGAAGGGTGAATGCTTCACCTCGTTTAGACACCTCCTGTGTCTTAAGAGTTTCCCTCCGAGGTGGAGCTTTATCTCAGAAGAAACTGCTACACAACACCTGCTCTTGGAAAGAGAGGGAGGGAAAGAGGAAAGAAAGGGTCTTTTTATATAGCCCTAGCTGTCTTGGAACTCAAAATGTAGACCAGGCTGATCTCCAAATAGGGATCCACGTGCTTCTGCCTCTCAAGTGTTGGGATTAAAGGGGTGTACCACTGTATGCCAGCATCATCAGCCCATTCTTAGTGGCAGTTGCTGAGGCTCTCTAGCATTGAAGTGCAGCTTGTTGTATATTCAGGCTCTGAAAGGATTGGGATCCCTGGGATCAAAGCGGTAGCAGTGCCCACACAGAGCTCTGGCAGGAATGCGCCTGGAGAACCTCACCTATGGAGAACCTATAGGGTAGCAACCAAGAGGTCAATGCTTGTCTTCCTCTGCTGCTTACGCTAGCTGAGCCAGGAAGAATAGGATTGAACCTGGAGCAGAGTTGGGTCTGCATTTCCAAAGGGAATGGTTTTTGGTCTTGAGACATTTTGCAAAGGCTTGCTCCTGAAATGCATGAGAGGAGTACATAGTGCCGTAAAGTGACATGTACAGGATGGGAAAGAAGATTATCCAACATCTACACCCCAGGTGCATTCCTGTTCAGTGAGCACTTCCTGTTACCCTAGGGAGGCTATAGTTAGAGGGTGGAGTCCAGGCATTGGTAGAGCTTGACCAATAACTTGCAATTTTGGAATAAAAAGTCTGGGTCTCAGTACATGTACATATACGGTCACCACTATTTGTTCTCAGGGTGCTAACAACAACAACACATGAAATTGAGAAGGGGACACATTGTGAGGTACCAGAGGGGGTTTGGACGGTGGTAGTTAGGGAGTAGATAATATCAAAATATATTGTATGAAATTTTCAAAGAATAAAAAACAATGTTAAAATAAATCTGGGTCAAAACCAACAGACCATGACTCCAGCTTTTCTGAGCACACGGAAAGGGGGTTTTCTGAGCTGTCCTCAGTTTCAGGTAGCTGAACTCAAGCAAGGCCAGCCGCTGGGACGCTGGGACTCTGGGCTAGGTAACTGCATAGCTGCACTGGGGATTTCTAATCACACCTCAATTGTAGATAGAAGAGCTTGCTTCTCTTCCGGGGCCACCTTGCCCTTACACGTCACCACAAGATGGCACTCCGACATCTGTGTTGGAAACTGGGCTGTTTGGTGACCGGGCTCCATCACTTCAGTCAGCCTTAGAGTCTGTGCTAATGAGATGCTGTAATTTTATTCCAAATGTGTAAATAGCATTGTGTTGCCAAGGACTCATGCTCAGGACCACCAGGGGAGGGAGGAGCAGAGCAGGACCAATTCCGTCTTCCCTGTGATACTTGCGTATGGACTTTGTCACACTGTTATATGTATGGGTTTTGAGGGACCCTAGGCTCTGACTGTGGGGAGGGTGTTCCCTTTTCTGTCTGTTCTGAAGCTAGGACTGAGGGACTCCTTCAGAGGCTGAGAAGCAATTGCTCAGGCCACGGCTCGGTTTTCTCCCATCGTCTCTGATCCCTTGATGGACGGTATCCTTCCTTCAGGCTGATTCTTACCTGATACTTGTGGGACTGAGGATTCTGTGGGAGGTGAGATCTCAAGTCTTCATGATTTCAGTAGATGAGAGCCACACCCTCCAGCGTAGCCTGGGAGTCTGGAGTCTTACCTTCCCTGCAGAAAATGAGCTGCTTTCCCTCTGAGATACCCTTGTCGTGTGTGTGTGTGTGTGTGTGTGTGTGTGTGTGTGTGTGTGTGTGTGTGTGTG